TCATCTATAATTTTTTTCAAAAGCCTGCATTGAATTGAAATTCTCTCATTTTTTCTTATTTACCAAAAAGAAAAAGCTAATCTAAAATTTTATCTAGAACAAAATTATGTAATTGAAATTTAACTAATATATTGTGGGATTCATCACTTAAATAAATCTAAAACACAAGATAATAATGGTTCTTGATGAAATTTTGAAAAATAAAAATAAAAATTTTGAGGTAGCTTTGCTCAAAGCAAATACTTTCAAAATTATAGCAGTCTAGAAAAGGGAACTATTATTTTCATTTCATTTTATTTCAAATATATTCTATTCTTTTTCATTATTATACAAAGAATGGAGTGTATTTAGAATATTAAAAAAAAAAGTAAAATAATAACTATGTATAATAAAAATATATATATTTAGAACAAAATGAAATAACAATAGTGGCTCCCTAAAAATTAATTAAGAAGATAGAATTGAAGGATTTGGGATGGCTGTTGTGTTAGGGGTACAGCAGTCACTGTTGTGCAATTAAATTAATCCATTTCGATAATCCAAACTATTCACATTTTAGAATATATCGAGTAAAACATACCTGCAAAAAATTAAATTAATTGGATATCGTTAACTCTTTCATCTATGCACATTTGTATCTACAAAAATAAATGACAATTGTGATTTAAACTATTAAAATGAATAGAAATATGCATAAATGAAAGAGTTAACAATATTTGATTAATTTACTTTTTTTCAAATATATTCTATTCGATATACTCTAAAATGTGAACGATTCGAATTATCAAAATAAACTCCAAAATAAGTTTATTTAGCTACACAATAATTGGGGTGTTTGATGTAACTTTTAGACACTAGATTATAGATTTTAGCTTCCAAAAAGCTATTTTAAACTGTTTGTTTAAACTTTTGTTCATTAGCTTCTAATTTTGTAACTTTTTTTTCCTTGAAGAAAATTGGTTAGAATCAGAAGCTGCTCCCAACAGCTTCACGGTTTGAGCGCGTTTGAGCTGCAAAATTACTTAAATGCCATCGTTAATACCCAATTATTACCAAAAACCCAACTATATCAACCCTATTTCTAAAAACACTGTTCATTTGCTCACTTGAGAGAGAAAGAAAGGCGATTTCTGGCTCTCTCTCTTCTCTCTCTCTCTCTCTCTCTCTCTCTCAAACTCTCTCTCCATTATCACCACCATCGCGATCTAAAACCCTACCGGAGGGACAAAAGTATCGCGATCTAAAACCCTGACCAGAGCTCTCTCTCTCTCTCTCTCTTCACGATCTGGTCGAACAACCAGGCTAGGGTTCTAGTTGCGATCTGGTTGAACCAGAGCTCTCTCTCTCAATTTCCATTCGATTACATTGTTATGTAATATGATGCGATGCGATGCGATGCGGCGTACAAATGTAACACTTTTTCAACAAAAAGCTTGTTTCATTCCATCATCTTTTCAAATACATAGTTTCGAAGAAAGTAAAACCTGACTCAGGTAGGACAATGTGTTCAATCTACCAAAAAAAAAAAAGAGAAGAGAAAAGAAAAGAAAAGAAAATGAAAAAAAAAATGTATCATTAATGAAATCACAAATTTTATATATTATAAGGGCAAAAAAGACAATACACAGTAAAAACTTATTTTACAACTTATTTAACAAAATAATACTTTACTGATTAAATTTATATTCTTACAACTACATCAAATAAATTAACAGTTTATATTTAAAATTATAATTTATAATCTATTAAATTATAATCTATAATCAACCCCACAGTTATACCAACCGAGACCAATGACTTGTGTTAGGGACACAGCCACCCCATCCAGAGTTGAAACAAATGAAGCACAAGACGAACAGAAGTGGGCAAGATAAAAGATTCTTCTAGTACATGACTATCAACCAAGAAGTGCCCCACCAATGCTCGTCAGTCAATCGTGGCTCAGCTGATTAAGGCGTTAGTTTGTTTTGGAATATTATTTTAAAATAATTTTTTAAAAGAGATTTTAAAAAATTAAAAAATTTATTTGATTATATATTTTAAAAATAATTTTAAAATTTAGAATGATTTAATAATTTTTTATAATTGAATAGATAAATGTGAAAGAAAAAAAAAAAGTGAAGGTCTCGTTTGGAAACCCTTCATTTTAGCTAAAAAGTCAAAAAGTTACTAAGGCACCGTTTGGGGACTTACTTTTTTAGCCAATTAGCCAAAAAGTTACTAAATTAGCCAAAAAGCCAACAACTCATACCAAAAAGTCAAAGATTCTCTTTTCTCTCTACTTTTTGCACATCTTTTCGTAATAAGCCAAAAAGTCATTCCAAACATACAAGTTTTTTTTACCTACCTTTTTAGCCAAATAGCTAAAACGTTACTAAATTAGCATGTTCCCAAACGAGGCCTAAATTAGTCAAAAAGCTAACAACCCATACCAAAAAGTCAAAGATTCTCTTTTCTCTCTACTTTTTGCACATCTTTTCGTAAAAAGTCAAAAAGTCATCCCAAATATACTAGTTTTTTTTAGTTCATATTTTAGCTAAATAGCCAAAAAGTTACTAAATTAGCCTGTTCCCAAACGAGAATGAGAGGGAAAAAAAAAAGTGATTAATTATTATGTAAAAAAAAATTAATTTTTTTTTCAACCAAACATACTTTTAGAATTTTTTCTCTACAAATATGTTTTGAGAGATAAATCAAATATGCCCTATCTCTCTCTTCCTTTACCCCATATCACACAGCAAGCTTCAAGCTTCAAGCAAAAAATTTATATTTCTTGGGATAATTATTAAAAAAATCTTATGATAAATTAATTTTTTTAAATTTTATCAATTTAAATATTAATTTTTTTGATTTATTTTAAGTCATTTATTTATTTTCATTAACTAAAATCAATAAAAAATAATATTTCAGTCATTAAATTCAATATAAACATATATAAAATGTTTAAAATATTTATTTTTATTGAATTTAATGAATAAAATACATATTTTTCCGTTAATTTTATCTATCAGAAATAGACAAATGATTTAAATTGAAAATAAATAAAAAATTTAAGATTTAAATTGATAAAATTCAAAATTCAAAAGTTATTTTTGTTACAAGAGTCCTGATTTTTTTATTTATAATTTCCCAATATTCTTTTATATTTTTATTTTTAACAACTTTTCTAAAAATTTATATTGTATTTTTAAATTTTTTTTTTGTCTCGTACAAAAGAATATATATAAAAAAAGAATTAAAAAGAAAAACTGTTTTTATTTTTAGTGAAATTTTTTTCATATTTTTTTAAAAAAAATTGTCCATCTAATCGAATAGATTCTAAAAGTGTAAAAAATTTCAATTTATTTTTACTAAAAATTCAAAAAAAAATCACTAAATAAACCAATCTCAAACCACATCCTAACGTGATTTCAAACATTTTCTTTAATTTTTCAACAATATTAATAGATATTGCTCGTTGGAGAGTGGACATCAGAGGATCTAGGTCTTAAACTCCCTCCACCGAGAAATTAATTAATATTTTTAAAATATTATGTATTCATACTCTTAACCAATCATTATTTATTATGCTCCTTATATCTCTCAATTATCTAACATAATATCTCACATTTTTTATCAATCATAATATTATAAAGTACCACTGTCTGTCTACTCAAAAAAAACAAAAGAGAGCCGCCTGTTGCACAACTCTAAGATGTTAATGTGAATTCTCAACAAACAAGCTAAGGCTGTGTTTGAAACAATTTACAAATTATAATTCTCCCCACACATTCTAATATAATGTTTGGATAAGATGTTAAAACTTTATTTTTACAACATTTAGAAAACTCTGCAAAAAACTCTGTGTAAGGCACGATTTTCCAAAAAAAAAAAAAATCAAATTTGGCTTAACCAGTCGTCCCATCGGATGTCCCACTGGTCGTCCGGCCGGTTGACCAGAACAGTACAATTTTTTTCTTTTTTTACAATTGACATATATTAATTTTTATATATTCGAAAAAAATATTTTCCGAATTTTTGAAAAAAATTTATGTGCTTTAATAAAATTTTGAATTGTAAGTTTTTATATCAAAGATCATATGTCACGTCAAAAATTTTCCACTCCATTCAAAACTCTTTCACCAAATAAATTTTTCACACTCAAATCATAATTCCAAAACTCATAAACTCAAAATAGAACTCTTACTCTCAAATTATATTTAGAAAGTTCTTAGAAAGTTCTACCAAATGCAACCTAAGACACTCTAATCCAAAAAAAAAAAAAAAGACAATTTTTTGAACAAACGCATTTATCTACATACATGCAGAAGTTAATACATCAGCAATGGTTGAGGGCCACAATTTTTGTGGCTCAAAATTGTCAAAACAATGTCGTTTTGAGTACAAAACGACATCGTTTTAAAACGACGTCGTATTGAAAATTTTGAACAACAAAAATTGTGACCCTTAAACATTTTTCTTAATACATATTATAATCCCAACTGCCACTAGAAAGAACAATAAGACAAGTAACCACCTTTTGAATCTCAATACGAGAGAGAGCTCGATACCTAGCTAGGCAAGTTCAAGCCCGAAATTGAGATCATGCTTAAATTTGTGACCAGTCCAACCTAAAAATGCTTGGCTGGCCATTCTTCAAGCTAGGAATTGTTAGATAATTCCAGGACATCATATGCTATTGTTTTAGTGATACGCCCAACAAATAAAAAATTACAAAATACATTAGGTGAATCATCTAGTCTCTCAACCACCTAATAAAAGCAAATCAACATTATCTCTAAATGTAAAACGTTTTTACTATGTCATTGAACGAGTGAACATTACATCCATAATGTCCCATACTACTCTAGAATAACTATCATTAACAACATCACCAACCATTCTCACAAAGAGGCTAAGAAACTAGTAGGTCAACCAAGGGCATGAAAAATAAACAAGCCAAAGATTAACCTGCACATGACATAAGAGATGACAAGTCATGACACCAAAGACAAAAACCATTAAGAGAGGGAAATGGGTCATTTTTATTCCAGAGAGTTTCCATTGGTACAAGACAACAAAAGGAAGATGAAATTACAGGACACAATACCAAAACCGAAAAGAAAAAAAAAAAGTTGAATTTCTGTACCATCTAAGACTAAGACAATGACCCAATTCACTGAGCTTCTAAAACCCCAAAAACCCTTTTCACATTTGCCGGATTCCAAGGAGGTGGGCCCCAGTAAATGTGGGACCTCAGATTACATTTTTCAATGTCGAGACCAAAATCCTATATGGTGATCCGAGAACACCTAATAATTACTCCTCGAGATGATCTGTTAGACAAAGGACCTTCCTTGTATTTGTTATGTTAATGACAAGCTTTGTTATGTTTACACAGATCATTAGTCTACACTTCTAACCATTGACAGCCCTACTTCTCTTCTTTCTTTACAAGTAAAGAAAGGTGACGGAAAATGGAAAATAAGCTAACCTCCATCACCATGAAAGCAAAAACAATCCCTGCAACTGTTTTTAGCTACGCCAACGATCAGATTGGGAATTTGCAGGAAAAGAAAGTCTTGACGAAATACTAACACCTATGGATCCAGCTTCACCCAATCATAACGTCCAGGGAGGGGCTCATCGTTCACAGGATCAAAGTTGTACCTGCAACAGAGAACCATATGGGAAGGCATAAGCAAATGGGGATGCATCACAAGCTATGAAGCACACACCTCTCTAGAGATCACGTATCAGTGTATGACACGGACATGGGCTGGACATGGTCCGGACATGCGTCGGACAAGCTAGGGACACGTTGCAGGCACGCTATGTCCTATATTTAAAATTTTGAAATAGCATATCAAGGTTAATAAATTTGATGAGTACAAACATTTGACATAGAATAATATTAAAATATATGACACGTAATAAATATATAAAATTATATATTTTGCATGTGTCCCTGGCATGATGTGTCCTGCATGTTTAAAAAATTAGCGTGTCCACATGTCTGTGACGTGTCGTGTTTCTTTATATCACAAGCAAGAAAAGCCAAAAAAAATGAAATCATGAACAAAAGACACTAAGAGATAATGGGTTGAGTACTTCTCAACAAATTGTTGTTGTTGCTGTTCTTCTGCACTGGCAAAGAACTTGTCCATTTCGTGCGATGTTGGGATGTTTCTTTGCAAGGAATTCTGCACTCTCGTGTCCGCTTGGGGAGAGCTAGTAGGCCTAGTAGTCGAACCAGGGGTTCGGATGCTCTCTGGATCTCTTATCAAACTGCAAGGTGTGCTTTCCCTGGTGCTCCTATCAAAGAGAACATGCACTTCCCTTTATGATCAAATAAATCTTACTAACAATGCAATGCAATATCAAGAGAGAGAGAGAGAGTGGGACTGACAGAAGAAGATAAAAAGCTATGAATAACCCGTCTCTTGCGCAACATGAAAACTGATAATAAGCTTTCAGAGCTGACATTAAAATAGAAAGAAATTCATGGCCTTCGGTAGTCATGGATCAAAGGCTTTCATGTGTATGTATCATCAATCTTTTGATCCTTTGCTCCAATTAAGCAAAGAACCCCACATATACAACTTGAAAGAAATAATAGGGCCCTACCAATAATTTATAGTTATGCAATTTAAAACACCACAACACCAAATTTATTGGCCATATAGCGTAGCATGTGTATGTATATATATATTTCTTCTGCAATACCATTAAGGTAGTAAAAACTAGTTTCTGATCATTTGCCATTTTATACACCAGGACGAAACAAAAGGCCAAAGAAATATGTTGGCATCAGTTGCCACTTAGAGAGAAGCACAAAAGAATAAGAATCTTTTCATAGCTGAATTTAAATTGGTTTCTCTGAGATAACAACCTTTTTCAGCTAATCTATATTTCAAGTACCAACCATAGCTAATCTCTTCCCAGAATTTTAAATAAAACCACAAGGAATGCAAATATGAATGTGTACATATATGTATTTATTCGATATGTAAAACACAAATACCGAATAATAAAACCACGGATGTTCTAGAAACAAGAGCAAATCAAATAATGGCAATATATTCATAAATAGTCACTACAAACTAAACAACCAGGAGGATTGAGTAGAAAATGAAATGGGAGCCTGATAGTGAACCATCCTATTTATGGAACAAACTGTTTCATTTCAAGATCCAAAATAATTTTCAGAGGTAAACCAAATTGTGCAAATGGAGCCTGATAGTTTCACCAGAACACCAATGTCTTCATCTTATTTTCCCTCAACCGGAGCAGGAAAGTGATATATAGATAAATCAAGAGAATTCCTCTCTCAGAATTGCAAATTTCCACTGCAAAAGTCATAAATGAAAGCGAAAAGCATGAACAAATAAGAGAAGAAGAGTACATATAAATCCATGACAATTTGAATGCACTTCATACCAGACGATAGAAAATAAAAATAAAAATAAAACACACAAAATAATATATAAGTTCTTGAAGGCTTTTATAAAATAAATAGAAAGAAAAAGGAAAAATTGGAAATTATTTTCTCAGCAATAAAAACAGAAGATATCATATAGAGACTGTAAAAAATAATCATAATTATAAGTCACACAATTAGTATCTTTCTTCCCAACTTTTTCTCAGCAACCAAACAAGGCATGAATAGGTCTCCCACATGGCTCCCCCCGTCAGGCTAAAAGAAAGCAATTTAACGTCTCTAGTCCTGGACAAAAATGGCTAAACAACTTTATTTCTCTCATTTTCTGAGCCACAATATTTTCAGGGGACGTGATTGACAAAAATGGAGACTTTAAACAAACAAACAACTATACCAACCGGCATACTCCAAACAACGGAAATCCAAGATTCAAAATTTTGTAGTTTTTCTTTTCACACATTTTCTCAGCAACCAAACAGAGCATGTAAGAAGGGGCCAAATTAAAACCTAATTAAGAAAAATAAAAAGAGGGCTGGAAAAAATAAAATTAAAATTAAAACCCATTCACCTCCTTCAAACCACCAAAACGTCTTTCCTGGCCCACGAAAATTAGAAATATATATATATATATATATTAAATTTCAATTCTCTTTTCTGTATTTTCTCCGCAACCAAACACACCATGAACAAACCCAGTTAGCGACAAGGACAAGACAAAACTGTCTATCAACAGAGAGAGAAAAAGAACACCAAAAATTTCTCCAGGATCAAAATTTGTCTTCTTGTTTTTTTTTTTTTTTTCCTTTCTTACCTAACTTTTTCTCAACAATCAAACAGACAAATACAGAGACTTCAAACAGCCAAAAACCAATTGAATGAAAAACCCACCTCTCTCTACCTTCAAGTTCCAACACATTTTCTCCAAAACAAACTTCGACACCCACATCAACATTGTTGTTGTTCTGATTTTCTTCCTCTTCACCCCCAACTTTCTCTGCTTCCAAACGACTCACCTCTTTCTTCCAACAATCATCCGAAACCGACTCAGCCGACCCAGAATTCACAGAACCCAACCTCGTTCTCGAATTCGGGTTAGATTTCGCTACACAACTCTCTTTAGGGCTTTGCTTCTGTCTCTTCGAATCGCCGGTAACCGGAAGTGGGGGTTTCTCGAGTCTCCGGCTCCGGAGCTGGAGGTAAGAGCCGTCGGCGGAGGAAGCCTCCGCCGGCGATTTCTGGAGGCGCTGGAGAGCTAGGGTTTTGGCGCGGGTCCGAACGCCCAGAGAGGACTGGGCTAGCTCCATGAGAGCCACCTCCCCTGCTGTCTTTGCCTTCCTCATGTACTTACCCATCTATCTCATCAAGGTAGGGAGAGAGAGAGAGACAGGTGTGTGTGGATATACAGATGGGTAGAGCAGAGAAGCAGAGAATCTAGAGAGAGAACAGGTGGGGGAGAGAGGGTGTTCTGGGTTTCTGTTGTTGGTTAGGGAGGAGAGAGGGGGAAGGGGGCAGTTTGCTGTTGTTTTTGTTAGAGAAAGAGAGAGAGAGAGAGAGAGAGAGAAA